AGTCGATTGGTCGAGAGCCAACTCATCGAAGGACAAAAGATGAAGAAAACAAAGAGTGATAGAAAGTAGAGCTGGGCATTTTATCGATTAACCTGCCGATTAATCGTATAATACTTTAATCGGGATAAATTTTTTAAACCGATGAATCAATGAAATTTTGACAAACAGAAAAAAAGTAAAAATTTGATGCTTTCACTACACAGACGTGGACGAGCACACCAGTATGAAGGTCAACTTTAGGTGAAATTCTGACCTGAAGTAGATTCTAGGGGCGAGATTTGTAATTCCAAACAAGTGGAGAAGTTTACACGTGTACCGGCCACACGAACAACGTGCGACTGAAGTAATAATTTTGAGTGTTGATGTCTTTTGACTGATCTGAACTACACATCAGGGCTTATATTTAAAATCCAAAATTGTACATTGCTCCATTTATCGCAAATTCCACAAAGGAAAAAAAAAACATTTCTTTTACTTCTTTAAAATTATTATGCATGGGAATGAACGAAACAGATTAATCGATTAAAACCTACATCGACACCCTTTAATCGATTAATCTCTTAAAGGGTGTCGATTAGTCGGTTTAAAATTATTAATCGACGCCCAGCCCTAACAGCCTTTACCTCCAGGTTGTCCCTTTGGACGAATTCCTGCCTACAAACTGGCCCATTTTGTCAAGTTGGCTGTCAGCGAATTGCCTTTCGACGAGTCGACTTGATACCATTTCGCGGGAACTAAATGTTGCGAGATGAAAATATGGGAGGCCCAATTGTTTCACCGAGGCCCACGTGCCCCTTGGTCGGGAGATCCAGTCAACTCGTCAGAAGTCAATTCGACGAAGGTCAACTGGTCAAAGGCCATCTTGCCGAATAGGTGAACGGTTAATTTGCCGAAAGGAGAACTCGTCGAAAGGAACAACATATCCACGTTTTCGGTAACTGGTGCCATAGAGCTTCATGTACTCGAGAGCACTGTCGGCCGCCATTTTCTCATTAAAAAAAAAAAAAAAAAAAAAAGCTTTAAGAAAATCACTTATAACTTTTCAATACGGAAACTGTTGGTGCTGAAACCTTGGCGCCTGGTTCGCACCTCTAGGGCTATACACTGTGGGCGCAGAGAACGGGGTCAGCTGACGAAAGGAGAGAGGCGGCTGGTTGGTTCGGAGAAAACGCGGAGCTCCATCCGCCTTGTCATTTCACAATAAGAAAGCGGAAAACCCAAGGTCGGACTTCTCGGAAAACTCACATCAAGATTCCGTCCGTCTGTCCCACAGTGGTCCGTCTTCAAGCTTGTTACATTTTTGCCATCGTCGCGTTGGAAGCTCGTCACCCTGTGAAGCACACGCCCGTGAGCGTACGTGCATGGAACTGAAGTGTGCAAAAAGCCCCACGCTGCACCGCGCTGACTTTCGGTTGACATGTTTTTTATGCGTGCACCTGCTCGAGCCTCGAGCTAGCATTTTTTTTTATTTTTTTGTGCAGTACTCGTACATCGCACAGAGGGCATACGTGTGGGGGGCTAAAGCGTGAAACACATGTGAGCGAAAATCGCGTCGCAACGCTCTACGATTGCTCCGCCAGGAAGCGTAAGAGCAACCGTCGCTGACGCTATGACGGAACAGCAGGGCATCGGCGGTTTCTATGGTTACACCGCTTGGCGACGCGACGCGATTCTTGCTCACTTGCGTTTTACGCAAACACACGCGCTTTTGCTCGAGTGGTGACATATCAACCATTTTTTCGCTCAATCGTTTTTATCTCTTTCGAAGGACGTTTTCATTGTGAGACAGACATGTACCCTAGCCTACATACAATTGGCGTGAGGCGGGTAAAGCAATGAAAAATAACGTGCCTCTGTGAGCTCCCTGTTAGAATTGCAGACTTAAAATTGTTTCGGTTTTATCATCTTTATTCAATCTAGTAGTCTCGCAGCAGCCTTGAAGGTCGAAACTACAGCGCCATCTAGAGTAAAATGATATGCGAATAATTGACGAAAAAGAAAAAAAAAAAAAAAAGTGGGGCGCAAATACGGATAAGTGTTTTTCTTTTGCCGCTAATATTTTACGATAGGACAGCGTATTACTTTAGGCTATCGCATGCGCAGATATAATCGACATTTTATAGTGATCCATAGAGATTACGCGTCGAAGCCACTTTCGGACTTTTGTCTAGTGTTCCCCTCCTGGCAACAGATACTTGTAAGTTTACCTTAAAATTTGTTTTTATTTTATTTCAGATTTTTTTTTCATTTGGTCTTTTCAAGTATTTATATCTTAAAGAATAAATGTTTCAAGCAATTTTTGTATATCCCGTCAATAAACGGTTGCATAGACAATAAATGAAGAGGATAAAAAAAATGTAAAAAAAATTGCTAAAAAAACGGATTTATATTTACATAAGAAAAACACTGGCGAAACACAGCCACTGTAACACAGCCAAGGAAGCGGGCCTGAAAAGCTGCTGAGCGCGTGCTCATGGCGAGATTTCACAGTTCTTTTGCAATGCGCATTCCACACCATCAAGATCGCCGGTCTTAGAAACCTAATAATGTAAGCTCGTTCTGAGCATGCGCCCTGAACAGCACCCATATATATGGTGTCCCGTGAATACTCCCTATAAAATGATTGATAAATGCCACGTTGACCCGGATTCTTCAAACTCTGCTCGAGCTCCCGGGATCGTGACAAACTTGGTCTTCGATTAAAATCCGCAACATTCGTTCTTGTCGGTCAATCAAGACCAGTGTTTCTCGCGTCAGTAGTTTCCGAGGCCCTGACGACTCTGAATTTCTGCAAAACGGGCTGCCACAATGCCTACATCCCAATCGCGCGGTTGAAAAGCGTGGATACACGGCTTGTATTGACGTCACGTCAGCCGCCATTGCTCCCGTACCACGTTCCAGTGCCCGTACCTTCTGCGGCATAGATTTGGCACCATCGAATATGTTCTTCTCCTCAAGGCTTGCCAAGAACAAATTCGATTTTGCGAAACGTACGCTGCAGAAGGTACGGGCACAGGACAAATGGCGGCTGGTACGGCGCCATATGACGTCACGCACAGAGCGCGACACCGACGAGCGATTGGTCGCCTGCTTTCTTTAGCCGACCCGATGGAGCCAATCAAGGAGCGCTAATCGATCCTGCGCCTTTCTTGCGCCTGATTGGTTTAGTCGGTGATAGCGAACGCAGAAAGACGACCAGCGTCGTGACGATGCACTTTTTGCGCCGTTTCGTTGGCTCGCTTGAATGCTGCGCTCAACGTAGTACACTAGCTGCGTTCCATTTACCTGCTCCTTCTGCACCGGTGCAGAAAAGTCAACGAGGTATTGGGCCTTAGAGCGATAAACTGGCAGCCGAAAGTGACCCCCAATTGGCCGCCACCATGTTGCACATTTTTGACCACTAGACACGTGACCTTACAGTTTTACGTCTAGATTTTAACGAAATACCGCGCACAAATAATTGCTTATTGATCGTTAATAACAGTACCGACGAGATAAGTCATGTTCCGTTTGTTCTGAATCCAAATTGTGCTTTTACGAAAAAAAAAAAAAAAAAAAACTCGGGCTGCTTCGCAATGCCTCCGCTAGATGCCGTCAGCCGCAGTGCTCCTTCCACAAGCGTGATGCGCCGGTTTCAAATCCCTCCGCAGCCGAAAGAAGAGTTCACTGGAAACGCTCCTTGTTCCGCTTCAATGGATAGATATTGGCTACAGAAGATTTTTCACTCTAATCCAACACTTCGTCAAACATTATTCTTAGAACCATCTTACATTTCGCTACGAACTAATCACCATCTAAAAGTGCGCGTCCCCCCGTGTAACACCTCATCTTTCAATGCCTCCTTTCTCCCTCAGACCTCAATAGATTGGAATCGACTTCCTGCACCCATAGTCTCGATAACTGATGCTACTGATTTTAAAATTGCCATTACTAAGTTTTTTGATGTTCAATAACTTTTGTTTTATGTCTTGCCTTATCTATCGTTATACTCATATGTTTCCGTTAAAAAAAAAAAAAAAAAAAAAAAAAAAAAACCACTCCCTTCTGTAATGCCTTCGGGCCCTGAGAGAACAATAAATGAAATGAAATGAAACTTGTCCCTCCGATCCCACTTTTTAAAAAAAGCGACCTTTGTATTCATCGGAGGAGGCTATGCTCGTGGCTTCCAAATTGCTAAGTCAAAGTCGAAATATAAAGCAAATATGTGCAGAAAGGCAAGACCCTCCTCGCGCGTTGGCCGCGAAGTCACGGAAACGATGGGATGCTATTGGATGCGGAGGTGGCGGAGGGATATATGATTCCCTTTGAGGGGCATTTGCCGCTACCTTCTTGACTTGTAACCTACTATAGCCCCTCTACCTCGTTGAGAAATGTGTAGGTCGGTGTACTTCCGGTCGTATCTGCCTTACACTTTTCTGCACCGGTGCAGGAGGTTCAGGTAAATGGAAGGAAGCTACTATTCTTACGGCAAATAGCAAACCGCGATGGAGTTCTTATGAAAAAAAGTTTTTTTAACAAGCACACACAAAAAAACGAGTTGAGTAATAGGCCGATAATTACCACGAAAGTCAATGTTTTCAAAAAAAAAAAAAAAAAAAAACGACAACAACAACAACAGCAGACCGTTACACAAACGAACGAGTCGTAGCATGATGCCTTTTTGTCGTCCTGTACCACCACCACCACCCAGCCAAGCCTCACTGAAGTTTCCGAACTCGTGTTTGTTCCGGTTCGTTTACCGAGTAGACTGTTTTTTTCCGGTCATGGTCCCTAATCGAATGTCTAATCGAAGAGTGAACCGCCCGAGACCACCCTAGCTAGGACCAGCCAGCCGTCGTGGCTATCTGCAGAGACATCGTAAACCCGATCCGCCGACAGGATGGGAAGATAAACACGCGCGCACGCACACACGGCGTCTGTCTCTCGACTCCTTGTCTCACGACGAAGAGACCCATCTGTTCGCTATCGTATGACCTAAAAATGAATGTCTATATACTCGCCTCGTAGAGTGATCGGCGATGTCCACCTCAACTCCGCAATGGAGACGAGTTTGTCGTCTGCGGCGAGCGGTAATTGGCCGTTTCCACCACGGCCCACGCAGCGCAGCGAGCGATTCGCGCACGACGTCGGTCCAGATAAGCCCCAGCGTAACCGCACCCGTCGTCTGTCGCGCTCCTCCGGACGACCCTCTGTGGCGCTGCGGGGGCCCCGAGAGGGAGAGGGAACTCCCCGCCGCTGCTCCGCTCGACGCCAGGGGACCCCAGGCTCGATTGGCCCGAGGCCAGGCAGACGGACCGCCAGCCGCGCCGAAAGCGCGACCAAAAACAAGCACCACGCGAGGCTGCTGCGTGCGCCACGGCGCACATCGGCCCCGGCCCGCGCCCACAGCAAAGAGAGAGAGAGGGAGAGAGAGAGCCGCGAAACAACTCATTAAAAATGATGCCAGTTAATTGGCTGCGATTTGCGCAAAATGAGTATCTCCATACTCGTTGTCACATCAAGAAAAACACAAAAAAGATTTACCCATTACGCGTGCGCCTCGCGAAGTAGTTCTTACTACAAGCGTTGGAATTCGGCGTTTGAAACGTTTGTACGCCTCGATGAAATGAGACATGAAGCTAATCCAGTATATACCTACATATATTTTAATTCAACGCACGAAGGGGAAAAGTAGTAACGTCAGGCGTGGAGCCTCGGACCTCGGCTGTTTCTGGGTATAGTTACGTTTTCGGAGTAACTTTTATAACTCGGTTACACTGAACACGGTTCATCATAGGAGTATAGAAAGATATGCCTCAGGCAGTATTGCAGACTGTATTTTGTATGATGGTGTTAGCAGTTTCGCCGCGGCTTTACACATTTTTATAGGAGATTTAAATTTGAATAAACGTAGTGAATAAAAAAAAAAAAAAAAAAAAAAAAAAAACGCTGACTGTCTTTGTGATATCTCCGGTCGAGTTTCCGTCGTGGCGTATCATCCTGTGACCAATGCGTCGCTCTGACGAACGGGCCTGGGGCTACATTGCCTATGGGATTATGACCGATTTATGACGAATGAACCGTATTCCGGGTCCTTGCACGCTGTTTTGTCGAACGTGGTTTCTGAGTCATCATTGTGTGCGGATCTCGCCCGAAAGAGGAAACGCTCTGCTCGGAGAAAGACCTGCTTTGACGTCCACACTGACCTCGAGATAAGAAACCTACTGGGAGGATGGGGAAAGGCGAGTCATCCGCTTTGGCCCAGAAACTCGAGCCGAGCCGGTCTGCTCCCCGTTCCTATTAACATTTCTGCGTTCCATGAGCTTTATGTTTACTATTTTTGTATAGATTTCAAGTCTCGCTATTTGCTCAAATAATCGAATGACGCATTTTAAATCCGCATACGACTATCTTATAGATCACTACATAAAGGGAGCAATCGGCATCTATCCGCAAGGAGCCGTAACGATCAACGCGGCAAGGAAAGTACGATCGAGGCTTTATTTTGCACAACAAATCTACGGACCCTCTCTGTAGCCACGGGGTTGGCCAGAATCGCGATGGTATATTTTAGAAATACACTAGGCATATATATTTCCATATCGCGATACAATTTTTAAACTGTATTTTGTATTTATTCTATTATTATTTATTTACTATTTTCCAATACTGCTACCCGGACAGGGGTTCAGTGGGAGAGGAGGAAAACAAACAAAGATGGTTGATAAAACGAAACAAAATACATACAAAATACATATGTTTACGAAGAGCCGTTCAGTCGGTGCAGGAAACCTTCAATCGAGTTAGCATGAGTGATGCCGGTATAAAGGTTAAATAACACCAATCTGATATGGTTCGGGGGGGGGGGGGGGGGGGGGGGGGAGGGATGAATATTTAAAGCAGTCAAGGCGAATCTGGAAGTTGTTTATTCTTCTTGCGTCCCTAGTGAAAAAAGTCACTTGAATGAGAAATTTCTCGTGTCCAATAAACCCATATAAATAATACAAGATATACAAGAACATATAAGAACCGTATGAGAACCATATAAGAACTATATAAGAACTATATAAGATATATAAGAACCATATAAGGAACCTATAAGAACCTTCTAAAACGTTTCTTATATGATGCAAGTAAGTTCTTATATGTCTTATATAGCTCATATATAGTTCTTATATGGTTCTCATATGGTTCTTATATGTTCTTGTATATCTTGTATAATTCATATGTGTTTATTGGACACGATAAATTTCTCATGCAAATGAGAATTTTCAATAGGGGTGGGAGGCCCTATTATTGGTTCTAGTGGAAAAGCAAATGAGGTTGTCTGTATTGATCTGAAGATCACCCGTGATGATTTGGTAAAACGTTTTTAACCTATAATGGTCTGCGCGGTCAGTAAAAGGAGTCAATAGGGAGCCTTCAAGCTCCCTAGGTGTCAAATCAGATTGCTTAACTAATACCGACGGTGAGTCATACCACCCAAATTTGTTGAAAATAAATTGTGGGGCCTTCGTTTGAATCATTTTCAATCTAGGGTCCCAGACGACGTTTGCATATTCCAATGTGGGCCGTATTAATGTTTTAAAGGCGAGTAATTTAACTTCAGGTGTGGAAACTTTGAGTGAATGTTTTGACTGCCATAATTTCTTAGTAGCTTTTGATGTAATAGAGGCGATGTGCGAGCCCCAGGAAAGATTGTTTCAAATGGTAACATCCAAGTATGTGTACTCGAGGACGTTGTTGAGTATATGATCCTGTAGGGCACTGTAGGCTATACTAAAAGAAGTAAAGAGATTTTTTACGAGTGGTCGACATATTGACATATTTGGAGGTCATCACATTCATCTCCCAGCTCCCGTACCAACCAGCGACTCTAGATATGCAACTGTTTAATTTAAGTTGGTCGTCAGAGGAGTAAATAACATGACACTTGTGGTAGGGTGGCCTTGCTGCATGCCCATCCGGGAGGAACAACACGAAGCCGGGGTTTCCATAACGAGAAACTACATTTATTAGAGTAACAGGAATGGGTTGTATAGTATAAACGCAAAACATTGCCGGAGCGTTGGAACTGCACGCCTCCGTGACCACGGTCCGTCTTTCCTGGTTCTGTGGCAGTGTCCTCCTTTTATTGGCTCTTTCCTCATGCACTGTTGTGCGTTTCGGACTTTGTCCTTTTTGGGCGGTCGGTAGCGGCCCCTGGGCGGGGTGGCAGACCCTCGCTCCCACACAGTACACAATTGTTGGCAAACGTTTTATGCTGACGTCAATATCTAAACATAAATCATTAGTAAACAGTAGAAACAACACCGTAAAGAGACTTAAACCCTGTGGTACACTCTCAAGAAAAAATGGTGTAAAAGGGCCTATCGTTACACCCTTTGTCCCATATAATACACCCCAAAACTTCAATTCGACGTACAGCGCCCTACAGTCGAACAGACGGCCTGAAATTTTACGAGGGGCTTGATAGCCGTGCATCTTATTAAAATAACCAATGTACGTTTTACTGACGTTTTCTTTGTGTGGTATTTGATACGCACTTTAGCTATTTAAAAAAAGTTATATCGTACCGTTATCAAGCCCCTCGTAAAATTTGTCGTCTGTTCGACTATAGGGCGCTGTACGTCGAAATGAGGTTTTGGGGTGTATTATATGGGACAAAGGGTGTAACGATACACCCTTTTACACCCTTTTCTTAGAGTGTACACCAGACGTAACATTGCAACTCTCCGAGATAGTGCCCCCAAAAGAAACGAATTGTTGTCCATGGTTGATACGCTTTCAGCAAATTCAAAGTTTTGTCATTTTTAAAGGTAGCATTAAGTTTGTACAACAACTTACTGTGTGAGACGGTATAGAAAAAGTTTGACAGATCTAGGAATATAACATCAACATGTTTATTGTTACTGAGTGCGGAAGCAAAGTCGTGAACGGTAAGCAGTGGCTGGGTTGTAGTGGAATAGCCCCTTCTAATCCCGTGCTGGTGGGGACTCAACATTTTATGCTTTCCTAGAAAAGTAGTAATGTGGTTTGCAATGACATGTTCAAGAACTTTGCAGCACTGAGAAGTTATTGAAATTAGACGGTAGTTCGACAGCTAGTTTTCTTTACCCCTTTTATGAGTTGTATTTTAGCAATTTTCCAGTCATTTACCAAATCCGCATCGGTCAGTGATTTTTCAAAAATTATACATAGCTATTTAGCTATCCATGGAGCATACCTCTTTGGAAAAACATTCGGTAACACACCGGGACCTTGAGATTTTTTGCAATCTAAATTAACCGGTAAATTGAGAACACCCTCTTCTGAAATTACAAGGTCACTTACAGAAAATTTTATTCGGATGTAGAAAAACTAGGAAATTGTCCGCTATCGATCCAAAAAAAAAAAAACTGAGCTAAAACATTTGTTAAAACCCCTGCTATCAACTTATTATCCTGAGTAAGAACACTGTTGACCAGAAAGGATTTGGTAGTATTACGTTTTGGGGAAATATGACGTCAAAACTTACCAGGTGCGGTCCTGAAGTTAGAAAGTGTTATATTATGATCTTGGGACTTGGTCTCTCTTTATTGTGAAAAAAAAAAAAAAAAAAAAGCGAAAGGGACTTTTTAATTTTAGTCTTCTGTTCCGCGACGAGGCATTTTAAAGTGGCAGACTTCTTGCTTGAGTGCGCCTTTTTTTTTTTTTTTTTTTCTGAATCTATTAATTTTTCTGCCTGGGTGTATTATTTCTCGGGATATCCAAAGGTTCGTGCTCCCTGGCTTTATTATCATTGTAGGTACAAAGCGGTGAATGCAGTCATTGATAATGCTTTTAAATTTACCCCAAACCGTACTTATATTTGTGAACGGGCTATTGGAGAGCGAGGCAAATTCGTTATATATTTCCTCTATAGCGCGTCGAGTACGTGTGTCATTCCCTCATTTGTGCTATTGTCACGAAAGAGGGTGACGAAAGTATGAACAGTGAACGGAAAAATAATGGTTTAATCGGCGAACTCGTGCCAAACAAAATAAAAAACGAGCGCCGAGGCAGCAGAAAAGCGGGCCCCTCCTCCCCCTTTTCTCTCCTCCTGCCGCTGCATTTGTTCATGAATGACATGACACGAAAAAGTAGCGTCATTTTCCCCGCTAAATTTAGCGGGGAAACTAAATTGGTGTTGACGTCACGTGACGTTGATTTCCCCGCTAGCTTTAGCAGTTTAAATTTCCCCGCAAAATTGAGCGGGGAAGCGTCCCATAATGCAATGCGCGGTTACGCCGATGCCACTCAACCCGGAAGCAAGAGCCCCTTCC